ATCATGAATAGACTCACGCCTGAACAATGCTTGCAAATAGTTCAATTTTATTTCGAAAATAATGGTTCTGTGCGGAATACGTATCGCGCACTACGTCCGTTTTATCCTCGACAAAATCGTCCATCAGAGCAGTTAATTCGATTAACCATGGAATGTTTTCGCACCACGTTTACTCTTATTGATAACTCGCATTCCCAGAGACGCTGTACGGTGCGTACAGAAGAAACTATTGCTACTGTAGAGCGTAGCATTGCGGAAGACCCGAATGAGTCTATTCGCAATCGAGCACAGGATTAAAAATAAATTGTGTTTACATTGAAGCTGTGGTATAATATATAAAAAGTATAATTGTTTTTATTGCTTTTATTTTTTGACAAGACCACTTAAGACTCCCCCCCCCACCACCACCACCACCACCTCCTTCTTGCCACGATTTGCGAAAAAGCATACAAAATATATTTAGCTTATGTTTTTATATTTTCTTAAATTTTATTAGTAGATTTTTTTTATTAATACTATTGTTTTAATTGTTTGATAATTAATTGATAAACCAAAAATTATTTTCCAAACATTTTTTAAACTTAATTGGAAAATCTTATCATTATCATTATTTTGCTGTTAATACTGATTGTATTTTATCAAATAAACATAAATTTTAAAAATAATCATCTTATTTTCTGTCTGCATTTATTAATTGCTTCGTCATCTTATGTTCACAAAAAAGATTTGCCTAGAAACAGGGGGAGCGAATTTTATATGCCAAAGTTTTTAAATAATATTGGGCCTAGCCCGTAAGGGTTAGTGTTACGGTCATCGAGCACGACTATTTTCCTAATCGCAATTACTGTCACCGCGAAAGAGGATTTTTGTCTGTGGAAGATGCCTGGGCTGGCTTTTTAGTCATAAGTCAGTTATAAATCCATACATAGGTGTTTAATCCATCATGGTTTTCTGGAGTATGGCTGGGCTAGCTTGGTTTGGTTCAGAGACAAATCTTTTACGCTGGTTACTAACAATACAAGACTCTACTGAACGACATAAACAGCACAGACTTACACATTACACCTATACACCCTTATGCACATATAGTCTGTTTACATCTTTTGTATGCTTTTTGTTCTTTCATAGATAAACTATCTTTGTTTGAACTCATCCTTATTTAGATAATATTTTCTTTTAATAGATATGTTGTTGAAATGTAGATACAGATTTGTATGTTATCTATATGTGTTTATCATGTGTAATTGAATTTTTCATTAAAGGATTCATATGCATATACATATAAGCATAAGAGCGATTCTTATAAACTAGCGGCTTTCGACTTGTTTTTATGAAGTATGTTTTTCCTTGTTATTTTGTTATGGTCTCAAAGTTACATTTAATTCGGACCGTAGAGAAAACTTTATTTTTCGGAAATTTCGATTTTGATATGGTCTCAAAGTTTCTTTTAGTTCGGACCGTAGAGAAAACTTTACTTTTCGGAAATTTCGATTTAGATATGGTCTCAAACTTTCATTTAGTTCGGACCGTAGAGAAAACTTCATTTCTTAACAATTTTTTTTCCCGCTTTCTACATCGTTTTTATATCACGATTTATATCATTGTTATATTACCAACAACTAATTTTTTAACCACTCATTTGGCTTCAAATTATCTGGGTTTATTACAATATTTATTTAGTCTTATTGCTATATTTATTAATATATTACTTATCTCCTGATTTTCATATTATTACTGTTTACAGAAACTTTCATGTTATATTATCTTGCATTCATTACTCAGCTTTGTTTTAATTTTCACATGCACTTTTCATCTTTATTATTATTCAGAGAATATTTTTATATCCTTCATTTAATGTTTTACATATATGTCGCTTACATTTTTAAGGTTTTTGTGCAACGTTCTTTTTCGCTATCATTTATTATTCTATTATTATTATGATTTTGGGTTTCGCGGGTTACTCATTTTCCTACACTTTTGATTGGTTATCATATTTCGAATGAGGTATCTATGACAGCGTTAGAGTTTATTTAAGGGTATTGTTTTGTTTATTAAAAAATTTTTTAATGAGGTATACTGCTTTCTGATTATCTTGGGCTTGTTTATGCTAATAATACCTATTTGGTTTTATTTCTTAAAATAAATTGATTAATATTTTTATGTTTCTATTAGAATTTTAATTTATTTTGTTTTCATGTTTTCTTTTGGTGGTACGGTAAGTGTTTTTATTTAGTTATTTTTATTTTTGTTTGTTCAGTAAATCTATACTTTTTATATCATGTCATCAAAAAAAATATTGGTGCTTTACAAATTTGGGGTTGGTTGGGTTTTGGCTATTTGTAGTGAGTCCTTTTTTACTGCAGTATGGAATAGGCGTAAGTCGCGGGGTAAAGCATAATTGGCGATGACGTTTGTCTGACGTGATAAACTAGTTATAAATGCTGATCCTCATCGAAACGCCAGTAATAATAGACGCGACTCTGAGGAGATGTTTATTACTTATCACTACACTAATTATGTTTACACATTAGCATTAATATTTTTTTTTCCATTATTAGTCCTTTCATTGTTGTTAGCATATTTTTAATTTGTTGAATGGTTTTTTGTTTTACAAATTGTTGACTGGTTATGTATTTCTTGTATATTTTAGTTCATATTGGTATTTATAAAACAATTTTTTTATTTTTTATTTATATATATATATATATATATTTTATTATTGTTTGTTTTTATTTTTTTTAATTTTTATTGTTATTATTATTATTATTTTTTTTTATTGTTATTATGGTTGAGTACTGTTTTGGTTGTATAGCTTGTCTTACTTATTTTTAAATATTCCTCTATTAATCTTTATTTTTGTCTTGACAACTGTCAAAATATGCTTTGTCTAATAAATAATTCTCCTTTATTCTAATGTACTTCATTTCTTCCCTCAGGCATTCACTGCTCGTGTGTGACCATTCGGCGAATTTTATATGCCAAAGTTTTTAAATAATATATAAAAAATATAATTGTTTTTATTGCTTTTATTTTTTGACAAGACCACTTAAGACACCCCCCCCCCCACCACCTCCTTCTTGCCACGATTTGCGAAAAAGCATACAAAATATATTTAGCTTATGTTTTTATATTTTCTTAAATTTTATTAATAGATTTTTTTTATTAATACTATTGTTTTAATTGTTTGATAATCAATTGATAAACCAAAAATTATTTTCCAAACATTTTTTAAACTTAATTGGAAAATCTTATCATTATCATTATTTTGCTGTTAATACTGATTGTATTTTATCAAATAAACATAAATTTTAAAAATAATCATCTTATTTTCTGTCTGCATTTATTAATTGCTTCGTCATCTTATGTTCACAAAAAAGATTTGCCTAGAAACAGGGGGAGCAACATGACTCAACATGAAGATTCCAAACTGTCTCAACCAGTGCAACATTCAATAAAACTTAAAATTTTTCAAGAAAATATTTTTCATTAATATTATTGCATATATGATTATAAGATCATTATATCTTTTTTTTATCAATTGTTAATCTTTAGTGTACAATGTTTTTTTGCTTTTTGGCGAATTCAAAATGGATTGTTTTTTTTTTTACTTTTTTGACGTTGTTTTTTTGACATTTTTTATTTGCTTAACTTTTTGGAGGAAGTTGTTTTAATAAAATCTCCAAATTATTTGAAAACATTTGTTATCTTGAATACACAATTAAAAATTTTGTATTTTTAATGCCAGATTCAAGTTCAATGAGCCAAAAACTTTCAGAATATGGAAGTTTCACTGATTATTTAGACTGATTTTTAAAGATTTAAAAGTCAGTCAACATTTCAACATTTCAATCATCATGAGTGACATCCCACCGTGATTGACATTAATGTCAAGAACTGATACTCTTAAAAACTTATTTTCAATGATAAAAATAATCAAATGTACTGGAGATCGAAGAGGTTACGAAAATCAACATTTACTTTTCTGTACCATTGTCTTATAAAAGTCAATAAGAATTACACAACAATTCTATGGATAGTTTGTTTGTACATGTTCATAATATTTAGCAATCAAATTAATATGATTGATAAAGTTTTAGGTGTTAGATTAAATAGCAGCATATTTATTTTCAGATTGTTATGGAAAAAAATTCATAGCGCATGTGTGTGACCACACACATGCAGTATGAATTTATGATATATGTGATATATAAGAATTTTACTCAGACCATTATTTTAAAAAAATTCATAGTGCATGTGTGTGACCATTGATATAAGTGATATATAAGAATTTTACTCAGACCATTTCAGTCCATTTTAATAAAATATTCATCAAAGTTAAATATTGTTTACATTAAAGCTGTGGTTATAATGACATATAAAAAATATAATTGTTTTTATTGCTTCTATTTTTTGACAAGAACACTTAAGACTCCAACCCTCCCCCCCCTCCTTCTCCTCCTTCATTGTTGTGATTAGTGAAAAAGCATACAAAATATATTTAGCTTATGATTTTATTTTAGTTTTGCGTAAAAATTTTATTAGTAGATTATTTTTAGTAATACTATTGTTTTAATTGTTTGATAACTAATTGATAAACCATTATTTTTTTCTAAACACTTTTCAAACTTAATTGGAAAAGTAGCCATTTTTTTTAATATCAATAGTCACATAGTTGAAATATACAGCTGAAACCTTAACTGAAACCATAAAAGTTCTCCAATACTAATACAGATAGTGCTGAGAAAATCCTAAAGATTTGAACCAAAAAAACTTTGATTAAAGTTGGCACATCAATTGCAAAAGAAACTGATTGTTTATTTGGTGCTTAAACATCAAAAACCAGCCATCAACAATCATTATTCTGATTGAACACCAAAGAATTTCGTTGGTGCAATACTAAGAGAGTAGTGTGTAATTGTTTCTGTAAATTTTAATGAATTTTTCTTAAGAGTGTCACAAAAAAATTTTAAACCTCTAAAAAATATAATTTAAACCTGTACCTGTGGTATGCAGAAAAAGAGCAGCCGTATCGATATCACTTTCAGTAAACTCATCTCCTTTGCAACTTAGAGATTTTGCAATTTCAAGTATGTCTTCCTTATTTAGAATAGGTATATCATTTTCTGTATAAGTTTTTCTTTTTTCCTCAATCTTAGAGTCTAGCTTCATATAACTCTCTGGAACCAATCTTCCCATAAAATTTTCATCTGAATTTTCACATTTCATTTTTGATGCTACTTCATATATTTTTGATTTTAAATCACTCATGTCTAAAAAAATTAAGTAAAGAAAGATTTATAAAAAAAAATACTGAAAACAAATTTTGTTGTATCAGACATGAAAAACTTGTAGACTAAAGAAAAGAAAATCTTTCGAGGTCTTCAGTGAACTATATTTCTTTATTCATAATATTCTAAATTTACCAATAATTTATTTATAAAAAATAGTTTATTTCCTAATCTCAAAATCCATCATATTCTGATGATAACCAAATATATAATTAATATGTAGAATAAACTCGTTAGGGGGTAGGAAAAAAAAAAAAAGGTTAGCGGAATTATAAAATTTCTCTGACTTATACTTATTTTATAGGGTAAACTGGGGTAAAGTGAACTGTTTTTGCTTTTTAAAGGAAAATTATTTAAAAAAAAAGCCTAACATATGACAGTTTTTAAAATTTATACCATTAAAGGTATTAACATGAAGTAAGATTAAAAACTATTCTTACAATACTACCGTGTATTTTTGTCTTGATAAGAAGCCAACAATCTCTGATTGCTTGGAGGGGGCATTTGAGCTTGAAAAGGATCCAACTTCTGCTACAGCATGGGGCTCTCAGTGGCTGGTGAACTTTAACTCTGATAAAACTCTGATATTTTTTTAGCTATTTTTTACCGCAATAATCTTGAACTTCCTATTTTTATGAACAGTAATGTACTTGATGAGTTATTTACCTTAAGTTGATGAAGTTGAAAGAAAGAGTCAACTACAGTTGACCCTTTATAGTGTTTCAAGAAGTACAATTGCAAGATACCTTGTACTTCATGGAACACCATATTCTTTTGATGCACCATACAAAGACATTTCTTTATTTTTAACTTTAGAAATAGCATTTTGCAACAAATTAGGTGCATATGTTTTTCTTCAAGATTCTTTTTTCTTATTTTAGTTTCTTGGCATTATTTTAATATATTTCTTAAATCAATTTTAAGAAAATTTCTAAAACTATTTTAATAGTAAGTAGTTTGGTTAAGTAACTATGATGTAAAGTAACTATGGTAACTTAGTAAAGTAACTATGATGTATATTACAGTTTTACTAAAAGTGTTTGATGAAAAAACATAACAAAAAGAATAGTTTACTTTACCCCTTTAAAACTACAATTTTTGTAAAGCAGCAATAACATAAATGATATTAATAACAACAAATCTTAAATTTACTAAAACCTATCGCAAAGTATGATTATGTAATTTTAAAACTTCTGCTAAACACATTTTTGAAATGGTTTTTACAATAAAATAAAAGTTATATTTTAAAATTAATTTTTTTTGAATAATTTTAAAATGTTGTATTAAGCAGAAATAACTCTAAATTAATAAACAAAAAATATTTCACTTCACCCCTAGTTCACTTTATCACAGTTTACCACAATTAAGTTAATATTAAATTAAACTATTGTTTTATAATTATAGCTAAATGAGCCATTTTAAAGAATGGGATTGAGTCAAATTAAACCATTTAAGCTTCTAGGAGAGATTTGTTAAACTTTTAAATCATATAAAATTTTGTAATTTAGTTTAAATTTTCTAATTTGTTTTTAGTTCAATTAAAATTTTTAATTTTGTAAATAAGTTGAGGTGGGGTATTAGTAAAAAAAAAAGAATATAATCTGATTAACTTTATAATTATACAAGCAAAAAAATTTATGTGTAAAAAAAAAATTAATCTATACTGCATTAATTTTATATCAATTTTTTATTAAATAAATTAAAAGTTTTAATACTTAATTAAAAAGCTCAAAAATGATAACCTCTAACCAATGGTAAGCTCAAAAATGGTAAAATAACCTCTCATCTCCTATTTTCAAGAATATAAATAGAAAAAACTAGTTCTGAAATAATGCAAATTTTATAAATTTTAAAATTTCAAGACATAGACTTAAAAAAATACCTTTTGCATAGCTTTCATATTTAGGATTAAGTGATAAAAACATTAAAGCAAATTTATCCATGAGATAATGATTTTTCTTGAATGCTGGAGTTGATTGGAAAAGATTATAGATTTCACTTTTCATTTCATCTTTCACTGATTTCAAATCATCTTGTAAAAGATCAACTTTGGTTGCAACAATGATCAAAGAAAAATGTATAGACCTCGCAAAAAGGCTTTCCAGCCAAACCTTTAACATTTTGACTCCATTAAGTTTTTCATTAATATCCCATAGCAACAAGTATAAGGATGAACCAGACATAAAACATTGGTGTGTGATGTAGTATTCTTCTTGACCAGCAAAATCCCAGGCACGAAAATTATATGTAGGTTTTGAAGGGCGTGTAATGGTAATATTTTGAATATCAATACCTAAACAAATTAGTACCAATAATTTCAATTGGAAGCTAAAGCTGTGTGGTTAATTAAATACAAATTTAAAAATTTAGTTTATATTTTATTTTTCATTGTTCATTCAGATCTTTTTCTTTTCCTTTCAGATTTTTTTTATTAATCAACTATTAATCTGGATCTTTGAAAATTAAACTTAAAAAATAATAAAAAAATGTTTAAATATATATATATATATATATATATATATATATATATATATATATATATATATATATATATATATATATATATATATATATATATATGTATATATATATATACATATACATATATATATACATATATATATATATATATATATATATATATATATATATATATATATATATATATATATATATATATATATATATATATATATATATATATACACCAGCATTGTCTGACTTAATGCCAATGCTTAGGGAAATAAAAATGGTTGTTGACATAAAACACTTATATTAGCTGAAAGTCCAAGGCTATAAGTGGCTTATAAGGCTTTAATTTAAAGATCTGATTGAGAAGTTATAGGAGTACCTCTTGGTCGAATCTTTAATTGTACAAGCCATTACTTAGTAGCAATGCTTTATTGGGTAAATGACCCAACACCTGTCAGCTATGCTCAAATATTTTTAGCAGCTTTAATTTTATGAAATAAATAAACTTTGTAAAGGCTAGAAAATTTTAAAAATAGTTTCTTATGAAAGTTGTCCATTTGAGCAAAGTAGATTGCTTTGGTAAACAGTTCCCAGTACACAATGCTGTACATTCCTACCTAACCAAAAGTAACACTTTTTAGTTAGTTTTTGGTGGTTTTTATTTGTGACCAGGCAGATTAGGGTTCTATATACAATTTTTTCAGCATTTCTAAACTCACCATGTAAACATACTTAATTTGAGCGTTTGCAAACTCTCAGCTTTTCTCATGCAATTCACTATATTTATAAAAAAGCAATGTTCTTGTAGACTAAAGAAGTTGATGTGAGCGTGATGGAATTAAATGTATTTATATTTATTCAATTAATACTTATATTACAAATATAAACACCAAAATTATCAACTGAAGTTTTAGTGCGGCTGTAAACATACTTCATGATGAATTTGTTTTTATATACTTTCTTGATAGGATTTAAAACAGGAGATTAAGCAGACCATTGCATTACACAAATTTTATTTGTATGAACCATGCTTTAACAAGTTTTAATGTTTGTTTATTGTCCAGTTGCAACACCTATCTTAGAGGCATATTTTCATTTACAGAAGGTATCATTTAGTTTTTGAGAATTTAATTATATATGTATTTTGCTTTGCCTTTGCCACTTTTCACTGTTTCTATAGTGTACATTAGTTTTAATCTCTTGCTGACAAATCTTTTCACATTTTATTGACTGATAATTTCACTGTCTAAACCTCTCAGAATAAACTTTAACTCATCCAACCATAAAATTTGTTTCCACTGTACCACCATTTGATTTCTATGAGCATTTGCAAACTCTAAACACCGTTTATGGTTCTTTACCAATATGATTTGTTTTTTTGCTGCACTGTAACTATACAAGCCTGCATCATTTAAACACCACAGTACAGTATTTTCCTCAAACATCAAGTTTCAATTCACAAATTGTATCTTTGGCACCAACAAATGGATTTTTTTACATATCAAATAATTCAGCAGAAACTTAAAACCGCTTTTGAAATTTTATATTTTTTTACTCAAACAACTCTGTGTTGTTCCAGCATTATAATCATCAATAATTTTTTATTTGAAAACACTATTATTTTTATTTTTAGTTATAACTTTTATTAATGTTTCTATTATGTAACAAAAAAGACTAGTTATAAAAGTATAGCAACTTCCTTAATTAAAACCACAATTTAAAATTAAAATCTATAATTAAACTACAATACTGTTTAGCAACTTGTTGGTATTACTATAAAGGTTCCCTTAGATTTGAAATGATAAAACTTGTATAGTAAAATATATACATATAAAAAAAAAGTTACCTAATCAGAATTTTTAAATTAAAATTGATTTTTAAACATTTTAAACATTTTTATTTTGTACAATTTTTTTTTGGAGGAAAGTGTAGCTAACTAATGTTAAAGATATCAAAACACTGAGCAGACACAAACACAGAGTTGTGTTCTATTTTGCCACTCTGCTGTGTGGATAAATAATTCAGTACATATATGAATCTTTGTGACATCCATACACTGAAGCACTAACTTTTTGGTAATGACTAAAACTATATTTATATTGAGGAGCATATTTATTAGCGGTAATTTTTTAAATTAGTTAACAAATAGATGCTGTTAATTTTTGCAATTTTACATAAAACTATAGGTATGAAAAAATAAAATAAATTTATAAAAATTATGTGTTAAAAAATTATAGGTATGAAAAAATAAAATAAATTTATAAAAATTATGTGTTAAAATGTATTCATTAGTTAACGAATAGCAGCTAAGAAAACTGAAAATATTAAAAAGAGAAGAAGAGGGGCTTGGGGTTTACAAAATTTTTTCATAATTTCAGGGGCAGTGCTGCTTTACAATTTGTTAGAAGTGGGTTTGGAGCAGGTTTGAAAAACCCACAGAAGTAATATAAATATTAAATATATATAAACAATTGTTAAAAAAAAGTAGTTAAGAATGCATCTTTATAATAAACCTGTTGTGCATATATCTTCATTGTATTCTGTTTTATTTTGAAGTCGATGAAGAAGAGTTGTTTTTCCTTGCTTTGAAAACCCAATAATCATGAGCTTCATAATATAATAAGGAACTGAAGACCTCGAGCGAGCAATCAGAAAGTTTTTTATATGTGATGTACTCACATTTTTTAAATAATCAAGTGGAGGATCTTTAATCTAAAAATCAAAAAACAAAGAATTAAAAAATCTAAATCTTTTTTTTCTTTTTAATGAACATTTTTTACCGTATGAATAATTTTCATGAATGTCCTGTAAAAAAAAAATTTTATGCTTTCATGATTGGGACAAGTATTCATAATGCCATTCTTATTTTTTTTTTCATGAGTTGAAATTTTTACAAACAGATGCCTTTCTTGGCCTCCTGGTATGGTTTTTTAGATTAGGACTGATGTTTTTATTGTGATACTATCACATCATCAAGGCGATAATAATGTGATAGTATCACATCATTAAAGTTTATGAGCTTCCAAATAACAAATTAAAGTTAAAAGCTAGATGCTGAATTATGCTTAAGCTTTGCTTAACTATGCTTTTGCTTTGCTTCGCTTAACTATGCTTTGCTTAACTATGCTATTGCATAACTACTTGCTGAACTATGCCTAAGGTTATCATTGTCCTGATTTTTCTGTAGGAGAACGCAATGAGAAATTTAATTTTATTTAGCGCTTCACTTTTTAAAAATCAGGACATTAGATTAGGCACAAATATTTATACAATTAAACCTAATTATGAGCCAGAACTTTAACCATTGGTTAGGTTCTGGCTCAGAACCAAGAGGTCCGAGGTTCCACATCTGTGGTGAAGCTAAAATAAAATAAAGTATTTTTCTACAGATTTTCCGTAATGATGTTTAAACTAACAGAAATGCTTTTACTGATAAAAATACTTTTGAAAGTCTTTTTAAACACAGTCTGAAAGAATCATTTTACAAGGGTAGAAATTAAAGTCTATATATTAAATGTATTTGTGCACGTCAGATTAAAATTCGTATTATATTCTGAGTCGCTATAATTTATCGTTTGAATTAAATAAAAACGCATTTTGGTTTGAATAAATTTACAACATTTTGGTGTAAATACATGTTTAGTTTACAAGTTTTTATAATAGCAATTTTAATGACTATTTTTTATGGGTTGTTTAACTAATTATATAATTTTGGGAAGGGTATAAAATAAGAAAAGGTCAATGCAAGGAGAAACAAGTTGTGTGAGTTATTTGCTTACCAGTCAAGTGCTCTATCACTACATCATTAATACATGTGCACTTGAAGTTAACAGGCTCGTTATATAAAGTATATTAGTAGAAATACCTTGTTCCTAAAAGAAATAGTTATTTTTTAAACAAAGGATGAAATCAAAAATAAGTTATAAATTTTTACAGCATAATTGAAACTTTATATAGTCTACTCCAGCATTTCAGGGACTATGTCATCCATATGAACTCTGGGTAATTGACTCAAAAAAATTTAAAAAAAAAAAAATTGAAGTGGGGAGTCCAAGAAGTCCTTTTTTTTTGAACCCAAAGTACGGAGTCCCTAAAAATTGCATCAAACTTCACATCCCTGCTTATAAAAGATGCTTTTCTCATGCAATTCACTATATTTATAAAAAAGCAATGTTCTTGTAGACTAAAGAAGTTGATGTGAGCTTTATGGAATTAAATGTATTTATATTTATTCGATTAATATTTATTCAATTAATACTTATATTACTAATATAAACACCAAAATCATCAACTGAAGCAGAAAGATGTTTTAGTGCAGCTGTAATTTTCATTATCAAGTCAAGAACATCATTGAACAATGAACTTTTTTATATACTTACTGCCCCAAAGCTTGGGCCTGAGTCGCATGAAAAACATGCAAAAACATGTTGAATACTCCCAAATAAGTGGTGGGTTTGCAATCCATACTTATTTGACTATTTTACCTATTTTTAAATTAAGTTACATTGCTGTGTTGAGAAGAGAAAAATACTTTTTTTTTTCTTTTCTTAACTTATTTTATAATTATAATTGTAGCAATATAGCTACAGAAAATGATGCACATTAAACTTTCAGAAAAACATTCCTTCATGGGAAAAAAAGGCAGCATCTGCTGCCTTTTTTTTCCATGAAGGAATTTTTTTAGAATGATAATAATTTTTTAGGCAACGCTAAACAATGTATTAAAATGTTCTCTGATGTAGAGATACAGCAAACTGTATCTCTGCAGAGAACACAATGAAGAGGCTGATCATATTTAAAGTTGGTTTTAAGTTCATCATTAGGTTTCTAAATTAAGCTTATAAAAGTTAGCCTGTTCAGAAGTTTCTTGCTGAAAAAAGAAATTTATAAGTAGTCTCTACAATATCAAATACAACAAAAAAAATTTAGCTGGAAAACTATTTGTTGTTAAACATGTAGCTGTTTGGTTGTTAAATTTGTTAACGTTGTTAAATGTTTTAGGTAGAGGGTTAATCTATTTTATACTTGCAGATGAATTAACTGTTACAAGTATATTGCTAACTATTTTGGTCTTACTCTTTAAAAAGTTCCTTTTTTACAACCAACACCAACTATTTTGGTGGTTCTTTTGGCTTGCAGATGTTGATTTTTAACATTAAATTTAATTTTTAAATAACAGCTAAGTAATTTAATAAATATACTTGAAGAAAAGAAAATTTAAAAACTTAATTAATTTAGGGATCTGTTTTCTACTGCTTATTGATAAGAAGTTTAGTACTTAAAAAAACACGTTTTAGATCAAATTTGGTTTTAAAATAACGTTAGTATAATAAAGTTATAAAGAAAAAGTTCTAATGGTTTGGTATTGCAACATATTGATAAAAGTTATAATAGTAAAAAATGTTCATAACTAGTCATAGGTTATTTTTTATAGGTTTTCAAACATATCATCAAAATATCTGTTTGGTTTTCAAAAAAATATGCTCATGAGATCTGTTTGAATTTTGTGTTATTTGTTTGAATGCTAATTTGAACAACAGTCTTGGCATAATTTTTGTAAGAATTTTTTGAAAATGAATAATTAGATTTAAAACACCAGGATCAGTCTCTCTAAAAGACAATTTATTACAACTGTAAGCTGTACAGGATGCAATGTCTTATGAGAGCTTTAAATTTTACAAGCTACTGTGAGCCCCAATCTGTTACAGAAGTAAGATCAGATTCAAGATCAGCTGCCTGTTCTAAGCGATTGAAAAGATAAAATTATTGGTCAAGACAGGAGTATAAAGACATCAGCAAAAAGAGCTACTTTAGATGTAAGGTTGTCTGGAAGATCATTGATGTAGATAAGAAACAAAACAGGACCAAGAATAGAACCTTGAGGTACCCCAGAAGTTACTGGAAATAAAGAAGAGTGTTGACCTTCTAGTATGACTTTAATAAAGTAATTAGAAATAAACAATTTGATAATCTCAAAAATTTTGCTAAATACACCCTATGAAACAAGCTTACGGAGAAGACCAGCATGCCAAACTTTGTTAAAAGCTTTATGTCAAGAGCAAAAGCTTTATGTCAAGAGCAACAGCTATATATCAAGAGCAATAGCTCTTGATATATAGCTATGATATTATTATAATATTATTCATAGCTATTGATAGTATTGATATTGATAGCCTCTCAGTATCTAAATCATGATAAAATCTTTCAATCACAGCAGTTAGCAAGTCAGCGGTAGAGTGAGAGGATCAAAAACCTTGATCCTCTCGATTGTATTGATTTTCTGACAGAAAGTTATTTGACTCAAGATGGGAGTGAGAAATTTGTTGATCAAAGACTCAAAGACCTTGCTTATAACAGAAAAGAAGACTGATCAGACAATAATTGGAGGGGTCAGAATGTTTTCCAGAGTTTTTGAAAATTGGATCAACAGATGCCAATTTCAACCGGGCAGGAAAACAAGACTCAGTCAAGCACTTATTAAACTTATTGAGAGAATTTAAGAGAGTTCTCGAGAACAATTTTGTAAGACTATGTCATCTGTCATCTGGGTCACAAGCTGTAGAAGAATTTAATCAAGATATGACTTTACAGAAGCTGGAGTCATTTGAATGTCTAACAATGGGTTAACCTGCTTAATTGAAATGGAAGGAAAAATGACCATACAATTTGAGAGTCGAATTAGAAGAAAAGTTCTTTGCAAACAGTTCTGCCTTATCCTTAGGAGAGGTAATAAGATCAGTCCCATGAATAAGAGATGGAATATTAGCTTTGTTTACGCTGTTGAAGATTTTCCAAAAGCCCTTATGGCCTAACTTCTAAGTTAGGCCATAAGGGCCTAGCTTAGAAGTTAGGCCATAAGGGCTTCTAGAGCTTAGCATCTGCCTTTTTACATCAATATCTTGCATAATAGAGCTTCGCATCTGACAGTACCTTTTTACGTCAATATCTTGCAATAATAAACAGCAGTTCCTGCATGAATCCAGGAGGTTACATAAGAAGCACATATTTCATCTGAGAGGGAAAAGACATCAGCTCAAGAACCTTCATGAAGAAAATCATGAAAAGAATACCAGTCAACTTTAGGGTAGTAGTAAGTAGTGCGATGATAGGATGAGTTCCAAAAGAAAGTAGGAGATTGAAGATTTAACGAGATCATTGCATGGCCAGAACCACCTAAAGGAGAAAAAGTAGAAATGGAACACAAGCTAGGATCAGAGACCAGACATAAATCAAGGTGTGAAGGCAAATGTTTGAGTTGTCAGGAAAACAAGTCACAAACTTTTTGTTGATTTTTCAATTTGATGTTTTTATTCAATATGATGTTTTTATTCATTTTTTTCTAAGTAAAAGAAAAAAAATTTGGTTGAATAAATTATTTTTTTGGAAAAAAAATTAATTTGTACAGAAGTAAAATAATTTTTTTTTTAATGTACATTTTTTTTTAATTTTTTTTTTTGTTTAATGTTTGTAATAACGACTAGTTTAATGTTAGCAATAGAATCTTTCAACTATTTAACTAAATATTTGATGCATCAGACATTTATTTATTACAACTAAGTCATAAAAAAATGTTTTTGTAACAAAAAATAAATTTTAAAATTAAATTAAATTTATTATTATATTTACCATGGATTTTACTTGGCTTATACTTAGTTTAATGATTTCATTTAATTTTACAACTGCTTTGTCAAAATAATCACTTTTATTGAAATTGAAATAGAAGACTAAATATTTATAATGAAAATTGTATTATGTAACTCAAAATTAGCATAAAAAATTAGTTTAAAAAGTAGTTAAAGACCAAAAAAATCTTGGAAACCCCTCCCCTCCCCTCTACTACAGGCAGATATCATCTCTATGTTACAGTTCAAGTTTATGAAAATAAGTTGAAAAGAAAGTAAATCAAATGTATTTGATTGTAATCAAATGTACTTGAACTCTCTATAAAGATAAAAACAGAGGAACTTTTTGACAGTAACCAGATTGTTGTTAGAGATATATTTTATATCATATAAAGAGAATTTATCAAATTTATAACTGAGAAAGATATTTATAACCTTGATGCAAAGATAAAAATATCTATAAATGGTGGTCAAAACATTTTAAAAGTTATCATTTTTGATCCAAAAAATCATTAATTTTTATCTAAAATATAAAAAGATTTTAGAGTAAAACATTCTTATATTTTTGCCAGTGTGGAGATTCAGAGGATAGCAAACACTATTGGCAATTCTTATACTTGAAGGAATGAATTTTATTCTGGCATTTGATCTAAAGTGTGCAAACAGTGTTTTTTGACTTCCAAGTCAATATGACAAGTATGCTTGTCTGTATTAGGGTTGTCATTTTTCATTTTTTTATGGAGGAGAGTGTAGCAAAAAATTCATTTTCAATTATGAACTACAATGCACTCTCCTAGACGAATAAGTGGATTTGACAAACCTAGTTTGTACTGTGAATAAGAATCCATGCTCAATGCAAACATTGGGACCTTCGACTTGTATTATGATCAATATGTATGTGATGGGAACAAAGGAATAATAAAAAAAAAGATAAACGTCTTTTAAAGTTACTGTACTGTAAACTTTAAATACTACTGTAAATATACTATGAATTTATTGTAAATAATTTAAAAAAAAATAATACATTAATGTGACTTCATCATTTACTAAAGACTCTTTAATCTTTTTTTACATTAAGTGATAAAAATTAGGTTGATAAACAAGGCTGAAGGGTGGAAAAACAAGTATAGCTTGATAATACCAGGAATGTGGTGGGGATCAAAAACGAAACTTCTTACTTATGTGAGCAAGAAACTTCATTAAATATGAAGACAATTTAACTAAACTAAATGAAAACTTTAAAACTTGAATATTAGTAAATGCATTAGTCTTATAGCTATCAAATTATGGCATGCAAAAAATGTTTATTTTTCACACTTGTTTTAAAGCAGTCTAATGTTTTTTTATCTATTTTAATTATAAGTAATAAAAAAAAATTAACATAAAAGTAAAAAAATACCGTTAAACCACGAATAATTAAATTATCAAGAGTTTCCATTTTACCAATAGCAGCAGGAATCTGATGAATGCCTGAGTTTCTACTTATATCAAGAGTAAAAAGATGTTTCAATTTGCATATACTTTCAGGAATAAATTTTAGCTGATTATCTGCAATATTTATATGTTTAACAAATAATCCATCAACATTATCTGGAAAGCTTTTAAGGTTGTTGTCATTTAGACTTAATTTTTCTAAATCTGGAGACCACTTTTTTACATCTGGTAACTGTTGAAGTTGGTTAGATGATAATAATAAAGTCTGTAGTTTTGGAAGCATAAGTAACTCAGGAGGTATAGCTTTGAGCTTATTTTTGCTAAGGTCTAATATTTTAACTATATTTAGATAATTAGTAATACTAGATGGAAAATTTTTTATCGCATTATCATGTAAATTCAAGTTCAAAATTGTTATCTCCTGGAACCATTCTGCTTTTAAACAAGATAAGTTTAGTTTGCTCCAACTAGCTACTTGCAAATCTTTGTCGTAATGATAATTTTTGAGTAAGACTTTAACAGCCTCATAATTTTTAACATTTTCACTGCATGCAAGACTTACATAAAAGTTAAGATCACCTTTAATTTCTTCAATGAATAATCTAAAAAACAAAAATAATTTAGCATTTTAAATTTATCATAATTACTTAAAATTCTTTTGCTAAAATTTTTCCAAACATACATACACACATACATACATACATACATACATACACACATACATACATACATACATACATACATACATACATACATACATACATACATACATACATACATACATACATACATACATACATATACTAGGGTGGTTCTAGAGTGCAAGCTTATAAGGAGCGCAAACCCTTATTTTATAAAAAGATTTTTTTTTCAAACTTTAAAAAAAGTTTAAGGGTGGCACATGGTCCCAAAGTACTTTTTTTTTACCCTTTTTTTACGTTTTTCAACCACATGTGTGCCATCCTTAAACAATATTAAATTTAATCATTTTTTCTATATCTCTCACAATGACTAATATAAAAATAAAATTAAGCACTCTAAATGTATTCTTTTTTCTAAACGCTGGAAAAATTATTTAAAAGTCAAAAAGAAGACCAAAAAAAAATGATTTTCCCTATTTCATGGATCGCGGCAACTTTTTTTTGGTGATTGAGATAGATTCAAAACTTGGGTATGTTTATACTTATATCAAATTTAGATGCTTCGAAGAAAATTGGAGTGATTGGAGCCTGGGAACTACAAAAACCCCAAAATTTGTGCCCCCCAGCCCCAAATATGAGGACAATAAGTTACCGAGATTTATACTATTGCTATTCTAAACTAAATTTATATTCATTAACAGATTTCAAATTTCATCTAATAATACTTTAACATTCGACAATTATGACTATTTAAAGTTTCCACCCTCCCCAAAATGAGGGGGTTAAAAACTTTACATTGTCATAACTGTCGATAAATATAAATTTAGTTTAGAATAACAATAGCATTAAACTCAGTAACTTATTACCTTAACATTTGGCTGGCAGCACAAATTTTGGGGTTTTGGTAGTTCCCAGGCTTCAATCATTGAGACTATTTGATATTACTGATATTACTTCCATCATTGGAACTGTGTCTTTTTCAAAATCTTTCTTAATAGATTTTAGGTGTTTAAAGGGCTGGTTCTCTGGACCTGATGTTTTACTACCTGGATATATCATATTAAAGTGGTTATTAAATGTCTATCCAAAATATGGTGTCAAGCCAAGGAGTTATAACGAGAAAAGCGTATAAGCTGGGGCAGCCATTACTTCTCCTTGCGTGTAGACGCCATATTTTGGAAAGACATATTACCCACTCTAATATGATATATCCAAGTAGTAAAACGTCTGGTCCAGAGGAACCAGCTCTTTAAACACCTAAAATCTGTCAGGAATAATCTTGAAAATGACACAGTTCCATTAATGAGGATTCAAACTCAAACAGAAACTTGGATAAATAAACATCATCTTGAGGCTGAACACTTCTATAGAGATGTAATAGATAATAAGTTCCTGATCTATTGCATTATGCTAGATGCAATACTGCAGATTGATTGTAAAAAGATAAGTTTGGTATCACAGTTATTGCACTAAAATGACTGACTTGCACTTAAAATGACAATACTTGCACTCTCAAAAATCCTTTGTTTCTATTGTCTTAACAAAATCTAGATTGTCAGTGAGTTTAACAGAAATACCACAAGATAGAGTATTAGGCCCATCTTTTCAATGTTTGTTTCACCCGTATATTGTAAATAACTAAACATGGCACAAATCATCATCAATATCCCAATTTTACCCAAATATATATCATTAACCTTGGAAAAGATAACATCAACAATATTACTGAATGTGTTAATACAGTCACAAAATGTTTTCGAGAAAACAGACTTTTGTTAACCCAAGCAAAACAGAAGCTATCTTATTTAGATCTAGGAAACAGACTTTAAAGGAAACAGACAAAATTTAAAAATGATTTCAAAATAACATTCTCTAGAACAACACTAACTACAGTAAACTTGTTAAAAATCCATTCCAAGATTCAACACTCTCCTTAACTAGCATACAAATAAAACTGTTAAATGTTTTAACTACCATATTTGTGCTCTTCACCATAAATGCATCCATGTCTCAGCAAAGAAGCAGCTAACACAATTGCTTGTGGAATTGTTAATTCTCAACTTGACTATTGTAACAGACTTTTATCAGGTTCTTAAAAAAAAAATCTTATAACTCTTATAAAAAATAGTTATTTTGAGAAAACATATGTATTAGGGTGATCCAAAAATAAAAATTAGCTAAGGTGTCCTATGGATTTTGCTACATAATATGAGTTCACAGGCAAAATTTTAAGTGTGCTGGATGCTTGTAACAGCTGCAAGTAAAAATCCATTTTTACAAGGAATTAGCATTTTTATTTTATAAACAAGTATATTTTACATGTTTGTACAATAAAATAATATCTTTTACATTGTATAAGATATTTGATATGATTATTTCAGACATTATAAATAATGCGTGTATTATAAAGTTAAAAATCAACTCATTTGACGAATTTCAGCAGATATCATTTTCCTGTTCAAGATTACGTAACAGAGGAAATAGTAAATTAATGCTGATGTACGATAAAAATACTTTTTTTTGTTTTTATTCATATTATTTTATTCATAATCATATTGACAATGCCCACCAACTCCTCTGCCCCTTTATCCTTACTCTAAATCCTAGGACCCCACCATCTCACCGTTACTAGCTTCTGCCATTAAGTCCTTATTATATTATTACTCAATACGCTTTAAAGCACAGTTTATTAACTTTTATATTTAACTTTTTAAATGTTTAAATCAATTCTTTGTTCAAACATTTGAATATTTCAGAAAAATGGGAAAAGCTAAAGCTAAAAAAGGAGCTGTAAAGCCAATCAACTACAATCCAAGAATACCTGTCTACCTTCTTGAAACTCCACTGAGCTCTCTACCTAGCAGGCAACTGCCTACTATTGGTCATATTATTAGATATTTTCTGTATGTTATTACCTCCAGGGTTTAAAGATTCAGACCAATCAAGACTAACTTTGCTTGTGCACAAAAGACATCTTCTGAAGATATGAAGTGCAAAGGAACTGATGGACCTTGCAACACTGTGACTGGAGAATACTGTTTGCTCCAGAGTATTGTAAATATTTGGGCCTCATGTGGTTTCCAGAACTATGTTCTTTTAGAAGTAAGCATACTAAACAAGTTTCTAAAAATTTACAAGCGATATAAAGCTGTTTATAATGAAAAAACACTTAAAATAAAACCAAATGCATCTCAAAAGCAGCAAGAAAAGTTCCTGATAATAACAGATAACCTGTTTGATATCAGTTCTCAAATGATTGAGTACACTATGTGTCAGGATACTTCAATGCCAAGAGACAGTGCTACAATAAAAAAAGACCTAGACTTTCTTCAAGTTCAAAGACAAGACAGAAAAGTGTTTACCAGTGCTTGTGTTGAAAAAGCGTTAGAGGCCAGGGTAATAAACATTTAGTGAAACTAAAACTGATTAAGATTTGTCAAATATTTAAACATTTTTATATACTAAATTTCAAAAGTTTTTATTTATTTAGATCGAGAGAAGAATTGAAAGATACATTAGACACAAAGAGCTACAGAAGAAAACTGAAACAGATCCGTTGGTTCCTAATAATCCAGTGAGAACAGACGATAAAGATCAGGACTATATAAGTAAAAAATTTTTTCTACTTTTTGACTGCTCACTCATTTAATATGAGGTGAGACAAACCATTTTTAAAATACAGAAAGCTTGAAAATACAAGCAAAACAAGTATTCAGTAAAAAGAGAAGACATTAATATAGCATTTAAAATATATATAAAATATTTTTTGAAGGTTCAAAATAATAACCTCCAGCAAGTCTCATAGATTGAATCCTTCCCTCAGCCTTTACTATTAACACCTCTAGATGACGAATTTCTTCAACTAATGCTTCTATATTTTGTTCTTTTAATTTAAAAGCTTCAGGATTGAGATCAGGAGCCTACATAAAACAAAAAGTGTATATTTACCACCTTTTAAAAAAATGTAAAAGAAAATCAGTATTAGGTATAATGTTTTTTAGTATCTTTTAATTATTTCCTAGCCATTTCTCTCTCTCCCCCTATCCTTTTTAATATCATGTCATGCGAGAGATAAAAATTTTTGATTTCTTCATTCTAAAAAACTTCTTTAATAGGTCCTCCCCAGATAGACCTAAATCAAGACACAGATCTGGTCCCTCAGCCTTAACAGTAAACAAGGAGATCACTATAGAGGGTTTGATTGCAGCAACCACACTTGTATGAGAGCTTGTATTAGTATAAGAGATCAATCTCTATTTATCTCTAGCATTGTAAATTATCTTGAAGGAGATATCACAGTTAAGTTAAGCAGAGTTAAGGATAAGCAGAGAGTCAATTAGAAGAGGCAAATACAAACTAATCCATTCTGAAGGTAACAAATTATACTGTTTTAACAATTTAGCTTTTAGATTGTAATAATATAAAAATTTGTTTTAGATTGCTGATTGATAAAGTTATTAAATTTAAAGATAAAAATCTGTTTAGGTTGTAAAATGTGTAATGAGTATATAAAAACAACGAAGAACAAACCATTGGTGCTACACTTTTATGAAAAAATTATAAAGCACATAGAAGAAGAACTGAGGAAAAGAGTTCTTATTGATAGTCGAGCAGTATCAGTTACAAGTCCTGAGTTTTTGTCAAACAATGATTTACTTTTTGGAGTTGTTCCTGTTGACAATGGAAAAGCTAATGATATGGTTATTGTACTCCAGAATCTGGTAGAATATTTCAAAATATCAGAGAATATCATTGCTGTGTGTATTGACACAACAGTTATAAACACAGGAAAAAAATCAGGAGCAATTGTAACTTTAGTCAGAGTTTTGGGACAATCAGTTCTCTGGCTCTTGTGTTGGCACCATATTGCAGAGATTCATGTAAAATGGGGCATCAAAGCTAATTTTAAAGAGCAAACTGTGGGACCATCTAAACATGTATAAAGATTTAAAGGATGCTTGGATGAATAGTTACTACCCTATTGTTAGTAAAGCAGTAGCTGAGAAAAAATTCAAGAAGTTTCCCGAAAGTGAGCTGCTTGTTGAAAGCGATCTTCACAGTTTATATCTAAAGTCTAAGAAATTTATTGCTTATTTGCTTGAGTATGTTTTTACTAGGAATGATTATAATCACTTGGTAAAATATCTTAAGTTCTTATCTATAAGTTCTGCGGTAGTGGTGTAGTGGTAGAGCGCTCGCTTCATAAACGAGTGGTTCCGAGTTCGATCCCCACCACGTCCCTGGTAGTACCACGCTCAACTCGTTTCTCCGCGCAGCGGCCTTGCTCGTCAAGGTTCGTGTTTCGGAGTTATAGAGTTGAGAGAGGGTTATAACCACAAATAAGTAGCCTCCTCGTCTGTAGTGGCCTTCTCGGCCTTGAGGAGGTGAATTAAAATTAAAAAAAAAAAAAAAAAAAAAATCTTGCATTCTATATGAATATCAATTCACCCAAGCTTGAAAAGTTTAGTTAGTACCAACCAGGTGCTAACCATAATGCTAGATTTATGTGTGACAGCATTTACTTGGGGCTTCTGGATATTATGTCTCCTATTATTAACTTCTTGAGTGATGATCAGAAGACTTTAGTCTCTAAGGCTAACTTTATTGTTGCCCTATACTTTCTTCCTTCATTTCTTAAATCCAGCAAAGCTGAACATGCAGTAGTAAATGACCTTGAGGCATACAAAACTGCTAAAATCATCCAAAAGGATTGTTGGCTTTTTTTTATTATTACCGACACCACTAGTGTTGTCAGGGAGTGGTATCAGACAGAGGGAGACTTGGAGAAACTTGCATTTTATAAAAACTTTTGTAGCTTTGTATGTGGGTTAAGTGTCACGATTATGCAGAAAGAAACATTGGTCTTATCCAAGAATATGTTAATACATACCTTGAAGATCAACGTCAGAATATATTGTTGGTTGTCAGAGAACATAGAAAGCTTGTCTCAAAAAAAATGCTATTCTCAACTTATGTTAAATAAATGGTGTTAGAAAATAATTGTATTGACTTTTTTTTTTTTTATTGATTTGATTTTTTCAGTTTACTATCTTAAATAAAGACAATTTAAAAAAACAGTTTCAAATTTAATTTTCTTCATAATCAAGTTAAAAATGTATCATTTTCAACAAAATTCATGTTTGATATTAACACTCAATTTTTACTTGTAGCTGTTCCCAACACATTTAAAAGGAAATATTTTTGAAAGGGACTCTTTATATGGCATGTAATGGATAGAAAACCCAAGTAACTGGATACTTCGGTGTTTGCATCATATACCTGGGTACTATATTCCGAGCATTTAATTCTTATGTTAATAGAACAAAAAAATATTTCTAACTATTAACATAAAATTAATAATTTTTTGTTAAAAATATTTTTTAACAAAAAATTATTATTTTTATTTTTGTTTTGTTGTTTTTTTTACCCTATTTTGAAAAAATAATTGTATTATAATTATATTTAAAAAGTAAAAAAAGTTTTGATAATAAAATTTAAAAAATAAAACTCCAAAAATATATCAGTTGTAAAAATTACAATATATTTTTTCCATTTATAAACTTTTTCCTGTTAAAAAATAAATTTGTATTTTATTTTGTTAAACAAGGCAATCCACACTATATAGCAAAACACTTTAATTAGTGACTAGAGAATACAATTACTGGTGAATTCTACTGACAATTGACGAACCCAACAATTGCGATAAACTTCAAATTCATCAACGTAGTTTTTCACTTGATATTAACACATCTTAAATAAGAGAAATTCTAAATAACAAAAAAATAAATTACTTTTTATTTTCTTTACTTCAAACATCTTACAGCTTACTAGTTTCAAAAACAAAGTTTTTTTTTGAAACTAGTAAGCTGCCCATTTTTAAATTAGTTAAAAAATAATAATAAAACTTTTATATATATTAATGATTAGATGTTAGTTATACAATTTAGTTTCTAATTTTTTTATAATATTTATTGGCCAGACAGCAGCTAAGTGCCTTAAATGTGGTAGTTCTATACAAACAAGCAAAGAAGATACTAAAGGAATGATAAATCATTTGCCACTTCATTTTATCCAAATTAAAAAAATGTACAGCATCAGAAGTTTCCAAATCCATCAAACCAAATTCTTGTTCCAAACAACTAAAACATAGTAATGAAAATATTTTAAAGTTTATGAAAAAAGAATCAAGAAATGAATTACTAGCTAAATGTGCAGCTTAAGACAGATTTTCATTCAAAGGTATAGCACATTCTGAAGCCATTTAAGGTTGTACTTTATCCAAGAACTTTGACATGCCAAAAAGTTAAATTACAATTAAGCAGTGTATCATAAAATTCTGTGAAGTAAAACAGGTAGAGTTAAAACAACAATTTATTGCAAAAAATCAAACTTATGAAAAGTTTAACATTACTGTCAATGAGCAGACAATGATAACTGTACATGATTCGTTAATGTGACGCTACATTCAACAAAGGAGCAATATAGTCTTGGATTGATTAAAATTGATGGGTTGTGTAACATAAAATAAACAAATTGTTTAGTAGAATCTACATTAAATAAGTAAGGGTTTTATTTAAAATCTGATTAACACATGACAGTACATCTGTGAAATATGGAAATGAAATTGACCCAATAAATATAGGAACTAACCATAGATATAAACAATGTGATAAAAGAAACAAGAAAAAAATGCAAAGTTTTTAGGAACTCACCAGTTCCAAACAGCATTCTGAAAAAACATGTTGTTGAAAGGTAAAAATTTGAACTTATTGTTAGATTGTTTTATGCGCTGGAATTCTTTGATTGACATGATAAATCGTTTTATATTATTATGTGACCCTATCTATATGACTTTAGAGGAACTAGGTGCAATGGTTCCATCTGGTGACCATATTTCACGCCTTAAAGAGCTGGTAGCTATACTCACAATAGCCAATATCCACAACCGAATGAATTTTTATCATATTCATTTAAATATAATGCAAAATTAATTCCAAAACAAATATATATATCAAAAATGCCTGTTGAAGTTGAAGTAATAGCACAGGAGAAAGGTGCATCTTTTGGTGAAGACACTCTTCATAACTCATTATTAACATTTTTAGCACCACTAAAACAATTCAAATTGTTGCAACTCGAAAAAGTACTGAAAATTATTGAATAAATTGGAAAGAGAACAAATAACTTGGAACAATTATACAAAGCATTTCTTACCATTAAGCGTACATTAGTGGATTGTAAAAGTGTTTTTTGAATTGCCAGAAATTTTTCTACAAAAATACCTTCCAGATTGACTGTCGAAACTCTCAGTGGTTTAGTGTTTTTTAAGTATTATTCAAAAGAAATCAAAAATTAACTGATCAATTATTTATCAAAATAACTACATATTAAAACATACTATAATGAAAACTATAACTAAACTAACATTAACTATTCATAATACACAAAAATATATTTATTATCTTTTATTTTTATTGTTTGATTTTTTTTTTCAACAATCACCCAAGTAAGTCTGGTAGATAAAAATTGACACGCCGAGTACCAAGGTAGTAAAATTCACAAGTAGTTGAATTCCATAAATCCAAATGAACTTAGCTTAATTTATATTTACCAATAACCCATGCCTAATGCTAGTATTAAATTACTGCTATGAGCTTTTGTCCTACTTCAAACACTATGAGCAAAATTATAATAAAAAGTAAAAAATAAGCAAAAAAACTTTAACTGAAGTGCATCCACACAACCCTTACACAACCATATATAAAGTTTAAGAGACAAAATAAAAAAGTCATAGTAAAAAATAAGTAAAAAAACTTTAACTGTGCATCAAACACATCTACACACAACCACATACAAAATTGGGGAGGCAAATATGAGGAAATAAATAAACAATAACAAATTATTTTTAAAATAGTAACTTGTAAAACAAATAAACTATAAAAAATCAAAAAAAAAAAATACCTCATCTCAATTAATTTTTCAACCGAAACTTCTATATCTAATGAACCCAATTTTTTTTTTAAATCAGTAGTACCAGGATCAATAAGAAATTTTAAAACATCATTAAACTTTTTAAGTACAATGTAAAATAAAAACACCATCAATAGAGTTTTTGAACATTGAGGTCTTCTGAAAGCTTTTTCTAAACATTCTTTTATACTTTGGTTTTTCAAAGATAAAATAACTTGTACAGCAGCATAATTGTCATTTTCAACTACTATGTCAAGACATTTTTGAAAAAAGTTATCTTCAACATTATTTAACTTTACATCTTTTAAATAACTAGACACTTGTGTTTTGGATGATAATGGATGTCGAAGAATACTATAAATTTCTAAAAAAATAAATACACTTCTTCTACTATTCTTTTTATTTATCAATTCTATCCATTATTACAGTATATATGATGCAAAAGAGCAAAGTAAGTTTATAATTTTTTTTTACTTGAAACAGCAAAGGTTTTTTGCATTTCAAACCATTTATTGTCAGTTATAAGAAACAACATTCGAGTTGTTATTTAGAACTAGGAAAAAACTATAAATTTTAATTTTTCTCTTATTACTTTGACCATAAAACATAGAAATGAGGTTGGCAATATATATATATATATATATATATATATATATATATATATATATATATATATATATATATATATATATATATATATATATATATATATATATATATATATATATATATATATATATATATATATATATATATACAAATATACATATATATATATATATATATATATATATATATATATATATATATATATATATATATATATATATATATATATATATATATATATATATATATATATATATATATATATATATATATATATATATATATATATATACAAGGCCTATTCTAGATAAAATATTTGGGCGGCGGTACCCCCTCGTTCCGGCAAACATTAGCGGAAAATCAACGGTTTTTTTTGCAAAAACAAAATTTGCTGTAAAATTGTAAAAAAAGAAAAAGGTCCTCAAATTTTAACTTGGACGCCCAAATATGGTTGACGCTGTCAAAAACGGTCTAAAATAGCCCTTGATATATATATATATATATATATATATATATATATATATATATATATATATATATATATCAAACGGTCTAAAATAGCCCTATATATATCAAAAGGTCTAAAATAGCCCTTGATATATATATATATATATATATATATATATATATATATATATATATATATATATATATATATATATATATATATATATATATATATATATATATATATATATATATATATATATATATATATATATATATATATATATATATATATATATATATATATATATATATATATATATAACAAACATTTTTCATTTAACACTGTATTTCATCAATAAAGACTTATCAGAAATGAATGATCAAATTAAAAAAACTTCAATTTATACCAAAAATTAAATTACAGGAAGTTGTAAATGTTGTTAAAGTTTTGTGTTTTAACATATACTGTTATAACATTAACAAGCAAAACTTCTTTCCAAAATATCTTAATAATTTTCAACAAAATTGGTTCGAAATATTTCAAATATGAAAAATTGTTACATAGTAATCATTGTTATCATAAATTGATTTTGCAAAAAAATGACTAATGCCACTTTCAAAATAAATGAATCAATTATTAATGGGGTCATTCCATGCCAAGTGAACCAAGGTTCAACATAGACCCCCTCAGATTTTGATAAAACTTGATGGGTTGGTTTATATTATTGAGAAAAGCAATTTCTCATTAATATAAAAAAACATGTTTTCAAAAACATGTTTTGTTCATACTTTGAAGCTCTGTATTTTAAAAACGAAAATTCAGAAAACTTTGTAGTTTTTTTTATTATATACAACTGTAGGCTTACTTTGTTAATACCTTGACATTGAGATTTTTAATGTCACATTTTATCCATAATGGCAGCCTAAAAAACCTTGAAAATTGTTTGCAGATATAAAAAATTGATCAAAAAGTGTCAATATACAAAATTAGCAACTTAAGAAGTGAAAAGACATATCTTTTTAGTTTCTATAATTGTAGGCTTCCTAATATTTAAAAATTTGCTGATAACATATGATTCAGTAAGAAATAATGGACTCCTAAAAATGGCTCCGGGTAAAACTTTAAAAATTGTATCTTCCTTTTAAACCACCGGTAACCTAGGATCAACACTGATTTTCATGATAAATTTTTTTTCACTTATTTAAAGGACTTTATTAAAGTGATTTCAGAAAAAAAATTAGTGGGTACTGATGGGAAAGTGGCAAAGTCAGAGTAATAAAGTTGGCACAAAATACATTAAAAATGATAAAAATATAGATATTGATATACTTTAGTTTTTATTATCTAATGCAATGCAAGAAATATATACGATTAAAAGTATATTATAGTCATTACTTGAAATAAGCTATAAACTAAGACTGAATTAAACTTAGTTTTAGAATAACCTTAGTTGCCTCCCCTTCCTCCTGTCCATTTACTTTTTATTATGCATATTTTTGCACAGAACCTTAATCTTAAAAAAAAATTGTTATTGAAGGTTTCACTGATTTTTTTCAAATGCATGAAGTGTCTTTATGCGCAAAACGAGAATTGAACATACACATTTAAAAGCTGTAAAATGATAAACAAGTTATTGGGTGTACTTTTAATCTTTATTTTATATATAAAATTTATCATTTTTTATTTAATTATTATGTCAAAACTCATGGAAACTTTACACTTCAAAAATTGAAACTAAATAAATTTTTTTAAATAATAATTTAAAATAAATGGCTAGTACATCTTTAGATCTAACTCAATGTTGCATTGGAAAAACATTAAATAAAGATTGTCATGTAGACTTTGCTGAAAATTACAGTTTTTTAATTCAAGATGCAGTAAAAGGTTTCCATTGAAACAACATCCAAGCAATATTGCATCCTTTTGTTATTTACTTTATGAAAGAAAATAAGATAAAATGTAAAAGTATTCGTATCATTTCAGAACATTTGCAACACAATACAAAATCAGTTCATTGTTTTATTCATGAAGTATTAAAATATTTTAAAAAGTTGATACCCTACTTCAACCAATGCATTTCTTTCAGTGATGGTGCAAGTTCACAATACAAAAATTATAAAAACATATCTAACTTATGTCACCATGAACAAGATCATGAGGTATCTACAGAATGGCATTTTTTTGCTACATTGCATTATAGAGTGCTTGTGATGTATTGGGGGCACTGTCAAAAGACTTTTAGCAAGGGTAAGTTTACAATCACTAACTGATCCTAACAATTCATCTGAGAAAATGTATGATTGGTGTAGACAAAATATTAAAGGAATACATTTTCAATACATTTCAAATGATGCAGTTACATTACATTGCCTAAATTTTAAATTAGAAGAACGTTATGCTACTTGTTCAACAGTTCCAGGAACAAGAAACCACCATTTTTTTATACCAAAATCATTAACAACTTTACAGATGAGACGGGTGTCGTTCGACAATGTGTTTACTAATGTAAATATTTCAACAATACAGCAAAACTATATGATTCCACTTGCCTTTCTTTCACCAGGAATTTATATAGCATGTGTTTATGATGAAAAATGGTTTTTAGGTAATACTGTGGAAATATCTGAAGAAAATCAAGATATCCTTATAAAGTTCATAAAGCAGTCTATTTTTTCAAACACTTTTACTTGGCCACATAGAGAAGATATTTGTTGGGTTCCAATTACGCGTGTTTTATTCAAAATTTCATCTTTATAAGTGCAATCTGCAACTGGTAGATGCTATGAACTATCAGCTCATGAAAAAACTGAAATACTACATTTGTACATTAGTATACATAATAACAATATTATATAACAACATAGCAAAATTATTATTAATTTGATCAATCCAAATTTTTTATTAAAGCAAATTTGAATGATTCAATTTTTATATTGATTTTTTATTTAATAATAATGTGTAATATGTTTATTACCTAATATATATTACATAATAAACTTGTGTATTGTGATGACAAATCAAATAACTCTTATCACTTGGTATAACCTGTAACCTAAATTTAAACAATGATAATCAAATAAATTGGGAAAGGCAGGATAGCGAATGCTTTGGGAAAAATTATACAAAATTTATAGTCAGGATATGAAATAGTAAGAAAATAAGTGATATGAAAACAAATATGAGTTGGGCAGATAATAAGAATAAAACGTCTTTATTTATTATTTATAAAACGTCTTTAAACAAAAAGTCTTTATTTTCATTACCTACTTTTATATGTACTCTAATTGCTATTTAACTTTACAAACTAAATGTCACAGCTTTTATATGATACACTGCTAAAGGTATATATATATATATATATATATATATATATATATATATATATATATATATATATATATATATATATATATATATATATATATATATATATATATATATATATATATATATATATATATATATATATATATATATATATATATATATATAATTGAAGATTAAAAACGACAACAGCATTCCATACAGAGATAAATAAGAAATTTGTAGAGTCGGAAAATGGAACCAGGAGTAAGGAAATGGTGAGCTTGATTAAGAGAAACAAACTTAGCGGACATTAATGTAGCAATCAATTGTATGTATATTTTATGATAGGTCAGCAGTGAACGATAATCTAAAAGATATTAAGAAGAGTCCTCAGTGAAAGGGTAGCTATTCATTAATATTGGAATGTCAACAGTATTTTTTGTTTTTTAAAGTAAATAAGTGAGTTTTGTTGGAGTTAAAATTCACAATCTACAACAAGCCCTGTTACAAAACTGAGATCAGATCTAAAAGAGAAGACTTTTTCTCAAGACAGGAGTATAAAGTCCAGTCGTCAACAAACAAAGCTACTTTAGATGTAAGGTTTTGAGGAAGATCATTAATGTAGATAAGAAACAAAACAGGAACAAAGATAGAACCTTGCGGTACCTCAGAAGTTATTGGAAATGAAGATGAGTGATGGGCTTCATAGATAACTTTTATAATGCAGTTAGAAAGAAATGATTTGATAATCTATAAAACTTTCACAGATACACCATTTGATGCAAGTTTATGAAGAAAACCAGAATGCCAAAGTTTGTCGAAAGCTTTAGATGTGTCAAGAGCAATAGCCATAGCCACCATCTAATGCAAAATTTTATCTTTCAGTCAAAGCAATTAGCAAGAGAGCAAGAAAATCAAAACTGTATTGATTGTCTGACAGTAAGTTATTTGAGTCAAGATGGGATGTTAGAAATTTGTTGACCAAAGATTTAAAGATGTTGCTAATAACAGAAAGAAGACTGATCGGACAATATTTTGAGGGGTCAAAATGCTCTCCAAAGCTTTTAAAAATTGAAACCACATATGCCATTTTCCAGCAAACAGGAAAACATGGATTAAGTTAAGCACCTATTAAATAGTTTAGAGAGAACTAAAGAGAGTTACGAAGAACACTTTTGTAAGACTATGAGAGAAATGTTGTCTGAACCACAAGATGTGGAAGAGTCTAATGAGATATGACTTTAGCAATGATAGCTGGAGTGATTTGAATGTCTAACAATGGGCTAACCTGTTTAAGAGTAGTTTAAGATTCAAGAGTAGGATTCGAAAAAAAATTTTAGCAAATAATTTAGCCTTATCTTTGGGAGAGGTTGTAAAATCAGTCCCATGACTTAGTGATAGGATGATAGACTTATCTTTTTTAATGACACTGTTGAAGATTTTCCAAAAGTCACTAGAGCCTAACTTCTGAGATAAGATACGAGACTTAGTAAACTGGGAGTAATAGAGCTTATCATCAGACAGCACCTATTTAAATTGATTGCAATAATAAATAGGTGTTTGTTCTTAAGAGAGTTATTCTTCTAAAAAAGTTGAAAAGTATGATTAAAATTAGATATAGGGGCTGCACAAGAAGGTGAAAACCATGGACTAAAATGAAGTTTGACTCGGAACCCACAAGAAGAAATGAAAAATTTCATATAATGGCGCATTTTTTAGCAGATAAAAAAAAGAAATCAGGCCATGGACCTTCAGGAAAAAATTTAAAATGAGTCACAAAGTTAAATTTGATTAAAAGATCGAGAAATGAAAAAGTTATGGGCATTATTGCTAGGGTCAGTGGTGTTAGAGCCAAGCCATTCAGTGTTGTGAGTATTAAAGTAATCAATAACAACAACATTGGCAGAGAGATAAAGATAAAAGTACATCATCAATTTGATCAAAAATTACGTCTAAAATGGTGCAGTTTTGAAAAGGAGAATAATAAAGAAGAAAAAGAAAAGTGATAGAGTAAAGAACTGCTGAGCAGAGCCACATAAAAAAGTGGTCAAAACATTCAAATCTGATTTCTCAACAAATAAGTGAATTGAAGCATAAGTATACTCTAAAACGAGTCTAAAAAACATTACATTAAAACTAGAAAGAAATTCCAAACATTGATGTATATATATATATATATATATATATATATATATATATATATATATATATATATATATATATATATATATATATATATATATATATATATATATATATATATATATATATATATATATATATATATATATATATATATATATATATATATATATATATATATATATATATATATATATATATATATATATATATATATATATATATATATATATATATATATATATATATATATATATATATATATATATATATATATATTATGCATGTATGTATGTATTTATGTACAAATGTATATTTGACTCTTAAATATATCGATTATCTTAGAAAGAGCATGACTTCTGTATTTCTATAACATTTAGGAACCTAATTGGTGTCTTAAAAATTGTTAATGCTAATGTAGATAAACAAGATATGCTGAAAAATAAATTTTTAATTTAAATTTATGTTTATTTACTCAAAGTATATTCGTAAATTACCTTCACTACGTAAAAGACGACTTGCATTGTTACAAAAATAGATTTCTGCTATTCTACACGGAGTTCTTCCGAACGAGTCAAGCTGGTTGATATTAGCCCCATGACTAAGTAAAACACTTATGCATTCACAATAATTCCGAGATGCAGCAATATGAAGAGGAGTGTGACCATCATGTGCTTTTACATTGATATTAGCATCAAATCTAAGTAGTTCTTTAATAATTTCTGGGTTACGAGCCAAAACCGCTTCATGGAGAGGTGAATATCCATATAACCCATTTATTGCATTAATTTCAAACTGATATGCTGTTTGACTTAAAAGTAACTTTACTTCATTTAAGTTTCCAGCCTTGCATGCATTATGTAACCTTGAGTAATCCACTCTATTCATCTAGCAGATTTTTTACTATCAAAACAAGTTATAACAATAATTTAAATGTTGGTTTTAATTCACGATTCACAAAGTTGTTAAAGAATATGTAGGATATATAAACACTTTAATCGTGTGTATAAATTTCAGGGATAATAAACTCTCTAAAAAACTTATTAAATTTAGATTTACTGTTTGTAACATTGAAGAATATTTTTTTGTGACTGTAACAATTGACGTTATTTTAATAGGAGATCAGTCTGAAAAGCAGTCTTAATTACGAGTACATGTTTATATTCTAGGAAAGTTTATAGGTTTGTATTCTATATGCACTTTGTATTCTATATGTACTTCTCGGCCAGTACATCTAGTTTCACTTTCGAAATTTAAAACCGTATAGACACGTGTTTGTCACGAATCAGGCGTAAACCGTAAATAGGCCGGCGTCTGTTGCAGAAAAAACTTTCAAAAAAAGATGTTCGTTAAACGCATTTAGTAACTAAATTTCGAGAACATTTTTTTTAAGATCTAAACAAGCTAATCTCTCAAAAAGAAAGTTCCCAGATTTTCATGGTCCTATTAACCGGATAATTGAGGTCGAAGTTCCGGTTTGTATAGAAACCATCCTTTAGTTTTAACTAAGACGGTTTCTATTAAAAAAATAAATATGACTTTTTTTTTTTCTTAATTACGCCCAAATAATTAATAATTTTGATTTCAAACTTAGTTTGTATTTTCTTTAGTTAACTACTAAAAGTACCTTAAAATTTGAATGCTTTTTGATAAGGTAATCTAGGTTCTAGACTTTTTTTATTTTTGATCTGTTTTCTTAGGAGATTTGCCATTTGCCATTTTTATGCAATGTTTTTAAAAGAGACCATTGGCATGAACGTAAAAAAGAGGTCTTTTAAACGTCTTATACACATTTTGGAAGTCTTTTGAACGTTCAAAAGACGTCTTTTTTTGGTCCGATGCCTACAGGAAGGGCTGTAATTAAAACAGAAATGTTGTTATTAACCAAATTTCCTATACATACTACTGCCGCTGATGTTTATCTTGCAGTTCAAAAATCAAAAAATATTAAACAATAAATGATTTTTATTACAATTTATTAATCTAATCTAAGTTACTATCATTATCAGACTTAGACTCATATGATTCATCTGATTGGTTGTCATCATTCACTTCTTGATGGTTATCACCATGATTTACATTTGCAAAGATCTGAGTCAACTACACAAGCTTTATTACAAGAACATCTTCTAGTGGAACAATCACGGCAATAATAGTGAACAAAATAAAGCGCCGCCGCAGCAAAAACCAGCGGCCCTTGTGCAGCCGGCAATTCTTACCAAGATATGGTGATTGAACCTTAGTCATTAAACCAACCATTCCCAAACAGACTTGGTGGGTTGTTCTCTGCTAATATGTGATCTTTTTTTGATAAAAATTCATAATTAGCTCTATTATTGTGTAGAACAAGCGAATCTTTATTTGGTTGTAACGTTTCCTCGCTGAATTTACCAGACTTAAATATTAAACGAGCGGAATTAACGGGTTTTTCTTGTTCAGCCCCTTATATGTCACAAACATATGTTTTCAATATATTTACCAGTTCACCAGATGGTGGTACTGAATTTTAAAAGCATCTAAATACTTTGTTTTCATCCATAGGCAAACCGTAGCATAAATAATTTATTTAAAAAAAAAGTCTACCAGATGAATTGAATTACAATCAATTTTAAGCTTTGGATTTTTGAAACCACGATACTTTGAACAGGCTTAAACGCGCAGGTCATGGATTTTTTGTGTTCAAAATAGGTAACTTCTAGAGATGGTTCAAACTTTGAATTTTTTAATATTGATACTAGTGTCATATAAGAATGCTTTACAAAAAATCACAGTAATAAAATTACTGTGATAAAAATTACAATGGAGCCTAGGAACAATATACACCTGAAAAATCGGGACCCACTGTCCCATATGTGGAAAGAAGAAAAAAATAACTTTTTTTTGTAATTTCTTAAAATTGATTGTAATTCATCGACAAAATTAATTTATCTAAAAAAAATTTCTAATCGTTTAAAAATGGCGACCTAGGAAAAGTTTGAAACCCCTTCTATTTGAGGGGGTTGTCAACTATACGAGCTTATTACTTTTAAACGTTAAAATATTTTTACTAAATGAGAAATTAACAGATAAATTTTAGTCGAGCTCATAATGGTAGAGTTTTTTTTCAAGTGTTATTATTGCCCCATTCCCTAACAGATAATTGGACCTTGGGGCCCTAATTTATATATGGTTCCCAAACTCTGGTCACCGTGATTTTTTAAACATATTATTTGTGATAGTATGAAAAAACTTATGTAGAAGTTACGTATCATGACAAATGAAAAATCTTGAAATTGATCTTTTGGTATATATTCAATTGTTTTTTAATTAGATAATGGTTTGAGACTAATTAATGTTTTCATTTATATTTATTTTCTTTTACAATCAACAATAATTTTTAAAAGATATATATATATATAGTATAAAATATTTAATTTTAAAGTAAAATTGTTTAAAAGAAGCTATGTCGGGAGTTGTAGGTAACAGTTGCTTTAAGCAGGCTTTGCGGATAGTTTTTAAGGCTACTAGAAACTTTGTATCCACTCTTTCAAAACAGTTTAAAATCATAATGAACAGTTTCAGAGACCTGTTCAGACCAAAACATAATTCTTTATTTGGATTGGAATTTGACATAAGCGAAAGTAATTCACATGTATGCTTGATAAGAGCATGCACTTTAGGTGACACTCGTAGACCAAGTTTAACATAAGTATCTTTGTACTCACTAATAGTTGATTCATATTCAGGTAACAAACTAGAACTAAGACATACAACTTTAACAGTTTTTAATTATTTAAAGGAATTAATTAAAGAAATGAAATTTTATTTTTTTTCAAGTTTAGAAGACTTTATTAATTCTTTTAACACATGAATACTTTTTAGCAGTTTTGAGCATTCTCCACCTTTAAATTGATAACCATGCAGCTTAGGCCTTTAAAACCCAATAATTGGGTTCCACTGGTTTGCCAATAAAGTAGCATTGATAGATTGCAAATATTTTTCAAGATTATCATATATTCTTTTTGTATTTCCACAAAGGAGATAAAGTTCAATTGGAGCAAGTATTTTAATAACTTTAACGTCTTCAGACAGATTAACTAGTGGAAGGTTAACACAATTAATATAAGATGCTGGATTAGAAGCTTGGATTCTTTGTAAAATTTTACTGGCGGCTTGCTAAGCATTACGACATAATCTTTTGAATATTTTCTCAACAAATCCTTTTTTACAATAAAAACAAAATAATTACAATAAAAACTTCTAAATTTTCGTTTTGACGACCTTTTTTTTTTCTTAAGAAGCACACCGTCCTCCTGACACCGGGTTAAGTGTCAAGTCTGTTCCCAGAGAAACCGCCATATGCCTGTGAAAGCTTATGACCTGGGGATTCCAGAAATACCAAAATTCAAATCATCCTATAACGTCCGAGAAAGAAAAGCAATGTTGAATTTTATCATTTATTGCACCGAAATGTGAAATGACAGCATTCAAAAATTTTGCATTTTTACAGTATTCTTTAAAAATAAAACTTTTCTATGAACCAATAAAGTTTCTAAAACATAAGAATTAAAAAAAAAATTCAGATTTGGAAACAAAACTGCATGTAAATTCAATTCCAAGAAGAAACTTTTAGATTTTCTTTAATTTTCTATTCACCAAGATTAATTTTATAAAAATTCTTGCTGTTGAATTCCACAAGGCAGTGAACAAGCCTCTGTCAATATTCTGGATGACCAATGTAGCGCTTGTATCTTGTCCAATAAGTATTGAAATAATGGGGCATGGCTTTTGTTGTCTGTTCACTATAAATTCTGAGAGAAGATTTGTTTTTAAAGACAAAGTCTTTTACGTGGAAAAAAGCAGTGTGCACCTTGGTGTCACACTCCCACATTTTTTTTTTTTTTTTTTTATTTGCATTCACTCCCAACAAGGCTGCAAGCAACCACTATTAAGTTGGGAGTTGGAAAAAAAAACAGAGCTATAGAGCAAGGAAGCGGTTGACAGAAGACTTAAAAAGTTGAAGGTTGTATGAGTCAGGAAAACATGAAGATGGGAGAGAGTTCCAAAGGATTGAAGTGCGGGGAAAAAAACTAGATGAATAAAAGTTTTTAGAGCATGCAGGGACAGATACAGTAAACATATGAGACTTAGCTGAATGACGAGTAAAACGAGAATGAATTTTAGTTGATGGAACTAGAGATGATAACTCCTTTGAGCAGTGACCATGATAGTATCTGTAGAAAAAAGAAAGAGATGCAACTTTATGACGATGGGAAAGAGGCTCAAGCTTAGCAGATAGTCCAGGTCCAACAACATTTACAATGCGTTTTTGGACCTTGTCAAGAAGAGAAAGTGAATTGTTAGAAGAACCAGCCCAAATATGACAACAGTATTCCATACAGGGAAGAATAAAAGATTTGTAGAAGTAGAGAATGGAATCAGAAGTAAGGAAATGGCGAGCACGATAAAGAAAAGCAACCTTAGCAGAAGCTAATTTAGCAATCGATTGTATATATGGTTTCCATGAAAGGTCAGTAGTAAGCGATAATCCAAGAAGACGTAAAGAGGACGACTCAGTAAGAGGATTGCCATTCATTAATATAGGAATGTTGACCATATTACGGTAGTTGTTTGCAGTAAACAACTGGGTTTTGTTAGAGTTGAAATTCACAAGCCACTGTGAACCCCAATCTATTTCTGAAGTAAGATCGGATTCAAGATCAGCTGCTTGTTCTAGGCGATCGAAAAGAGAAGACTTTTTGTCAAGACAGGAGTATAAAGTTGAGTCATCAGCAAAAAGAGCTACTTTAAATGAAAGGTTGTCAGGAAGATCGTTTATGTAGATAAGAAACAAAACAAGGCCCAGGATGGAACCTTGGGGAACCCCAGAAGTTACTGGAAATAAAGAACAGTGTTGGCCTTCAAGGATGACTTTAATAAACCGGTTAGAAAGAAATGATTTGATAATCTCAAAAACTTTCCCAGAAACACCATATGAAGCAAGCTTATGGAGAAGACCAGCATGCCAAACTTTTTCAGATATGTTGAGAGCAATAGCCCTAGCCTCACCGCCTCCATCTAATGCACAATAAAATCTTTCAGTTACAGCAGTTAGCAAGTCGGCCGTAGAGCGAGAGGATCAAAAATCGCATTGATTGTCTGACAGTAGTTTATTTGACTTAAGATGAGATGTGAGGAATTTGTTGATCAAAGACTCAAAGACATGGTAGAGCTAGAAAGAAGCTTCTGAAAGCAT